GGAAGGGAAGTAAGAACGAACATGACTCTGGTTTTGGCTTCCGCATGCCGTCATTTGGATTTAAGAAAGGTGCCAAGGCGCCCAAGCTTGATGGTGTTGATGAGCTGCTGGGTTATCTCCTCCCTGAGAAAGACATACCCGCGCTGCGACTTCGTGATGACACAGAAGTTGATGTGATCGATTTCACGAAATTGCAAAAGCGCGAAGTGACCGTTCGCACCGAAGTTCCTGAAGCTTGCCTTCCGAAACTTCCTGGGGACCTGAAGTGTGATGTGGTTACCCTTCCAGATGGTGGAGTAAAACACGTACTAAACCAGCGGTTTGATGGCAATTTCGAACTTCCCTTACCAAGGATGTCGGGTGCTGAGGTGGACGAAGTCAAGCAGCCGGATGGGTCTCGAAAGACGACGTACAAGCCCAAGACAGGTTTCAAGTGGCCCAAGATCAAGCTACCTACCCTGGAACTACCTGACTGGGAGTTCGGCTCAACCCACGATTCGCCTATTATTCAAAGGAAAGACAAGGACGATCATGAGTTCCATGTCGGTCTCAAGATGCCATCGTTTGGAATGAAAAAGGGAGTTAAGACGCCAAAGTTCGAAAGCATTGACGGCCTGCTAGGCTATCTGCTTCCCGCAGCTGATATTCCCAAAGTGAAATTAAGAAACAACAGTGAAGTTGACGTTGTTGACGCGCCGGAGATGAAAGAAAGACAAGTTGTCGTGCGAACTGAAATCCCCGAGGTGGACCTTCCAAAGCTACCGACGGACCTAAAAGTGGAAAAAATGACCCTTCCTGATGGCACTGTTCGAAACGAGTTGACACAAAAATTTACTGGGAACTTCGAACTTCATCTTCCCAAAGTCTCTGGTGCTGACGTCAGTGACATCCAGCTGCCTGATGGTTCTGTGCGAACGACATTCCGTCCAAAATCCGGGCTCAAATGGCCTCAGTTCACACTCCCGTCGCTGGACCTGCCTGATTGGGATTTCAAGTCCTCCGACAAAGCAAAATCTACTTCGCTTGAGAGGTCTGAGAGCAAGGGAGATCGAGACCTAAACATCGGTCTGAAGATGCCTTCGTTTGGGTTCAAGAAGGGTGCAAAGATCCCCAAGTTCGACGGCATCGATGGCTTACTCGGCTATCTTCTTCCTGAGACCGATCTTCCTTCGCTTCGCATTCGAGATAACAGCGAAGTTGACGTAGTTGACCTACCAGACATGAAGGGACGTCAGGTCATCGTCAACACTGAGATTCCTGACGTGGACCTGCCGAAGCTATCTGGTGACCAAACGGTAGACAAGCTGACTATGCCTGATGGAAGTATCAAAAACGTTCTGAGCCAAAGGTTCACGGGAAATGCTGAGCTTCCTCTGCCTAAGCTACAGGGAGCAGATACAGGTGAAATCAAACTACCTGATGGCTCCATCAAAACGTCATACAAGCCCAAGGCTGGATTCAAGTGGCCAAAAATTTCTTTGCCAACACTTCAGATGCCTGACTGGGAGTTCGATTCGGGCGACAAAAGCAAAAGAACCAGCCTAGAGCGAGGAATGAAACTTCCGTCGTTTGGATTCAAGAAAGGTGTGAAGACACCAAAGTTTGATGGCCTGGATGGCATGCTGGGCTATTTGCTACCTGAATGCGAACATCCAAAGCTGCGAATTCGTGACGATTCCGAAGTTGACGTCATCGACCTCTCCAACGGAAAGCGCTCAATTCTCGTAAGGACCACTATTCCCGATGCAGATCTTCCTAAACTTTCGGAAGAATATGCGATCGAAAAGATTACTCTTCCCGATGGAAGCGTGAAGAATATTCTCAACCAAACATTCCAGGGCAACGGCGAGCTACCATTACCAAAGCTTCACGGGGCTGATGTCGATGAAGTTAAGCTTCCTGATGGAAGTCTTAAGACAACGTTCAAGCCCAAACCGGGGTTCAAGTGGCCCAAATTCAGTCTTCCTGGTCTCGGGTTACCTGACTGGGAGCTCAGCTCGGGCAAAAAATCTGCCAGCCTGGAGAGAAAGGAACCCAAAGGTGAGCATGACTTTCACATGGGTCTGAAAATGCCATCATTTGGGCTCAAGAAAGGAGTGAAAACACCGAAGTTTGATGGTATTGACGGTCTGTTGGGTTATCTACTACCAGAATCTGATTTGCCAACATTGAGGATTCGGGACAGCACCGAGGTTGACATCGTCGACATACCATCCGAAAAGGAGCGCAGTGTTGTGGTTCGTACTGAGATCCCCGACGCTGATCTCCCCAAACTGGCTTGTGACCTGAAGGTCGAGAAAATACCATTACCTGATGGTGGCGTCAGAAACGAACTGACTCAGAAATATAAGGGAAACTTTGACCTCGCCCTTCCAAAGGTCACAGGAGCAGACATCAAAGAGTTCAAACTTCCCGATGGCGGATTGAAAACAACTTTCTTGCCGAAATCTGGTTTCAAGTGGCCAACCATCACCCTTCCATCCCTCCAAATGCCCGACTGGGAGTTCCGGTCCGGTGAAAGCTCGCCCACACGTCAAAGAAAAGAGAAAGATGGGGATGGGGATTTCAGCTTCGGTGTGAAAATGCCTTCCTTCGGGATGAAGAAGAGCCTGAAGGCTCCGAAGTGTGATGGTATTGATGAGCTCCTTGAGTACTTGTTGCCAGAGGGAGATCTCCCGAAACTGAGACTACGAGACAACACAGAGGTTGAAGTTACTGACCTACCAGATGGCATGCAGAGGAGCGTTTTGGTTAAGACAGAAATCCCGGAAGCAGATCTTGGGAAACTTTCATCAGATTTGGAAGTGCAGAAGCTCACTCTTCCAGACGGCCGCGTGAAAAACATTCTTGCACAGACGTTTAGCGGCAATGCCCAGCTGTCCCTTCCGAAGGTGTCAGGTGCCGATATCGAGGATTCCCAGCTGCCTGACGGTGCCACAAAAACTACATTCAAGCCTAAAGCCGGTCTCAGGTGGCCAAAAATCAAGCTGCCAAGCCTGCAGATTCCTGATTGGGAGTTCAGCTCTGGAAAGAGATCACCTAGTCCTGAACGGAAGGCAGATACTGACTTCAATGCTGGTCTCAAGATGCCGTCTTTCGGGTTTGGGAAAGGAATGAAAGTGCCGAAAGTGCGAGGAATTGACGGTCTTTTGACATACGTTTTGCCTGAAACAGAGGTACCAAAGCTTCGAATTCGAGATAACTCAGAGGTTGAAGTTACTGATACTCCACATCACACCATGAGAACGGTTGTCGTCCGAACAGAAATTGCCGAAGCAGACATTCCAAAACTGAGTGGGATGTTTGACATTCAAAAAGAGTCGACACCAGATGGGCAAGTGAAGCATGTTCTCATCCAGAAACTCGTTGGCAAACCAAACATTCCTCTTCCCAAAGTTGGAGGCGCGGAGTGCGATCGAACTACGCTGCCAGATGGAACACTGAAAGTAACGTACAAACCAAAAGCCGGTTTTGTGTGGCCAAAGATCAACCTTCCAACTCTGAGTTTCCCAGATTGGAACTTCAGTTCTGGCACTGAAAAACCGAGAGTGGAGTCAGATGACGAAGATGATTCCTTTGAGATAACCTTACCTTCACTTGGGGTAGGCAAGGACGCGAAGCCTCCAAATCTGCACGGTGTGGACGCTCTTCTGGCATACCTCATTCCTGAGAAAGACATCCCAAGTCTTAGAATACGAGAAGACACGGAGGTCGATGTGATTGATCACGAGGATACCCAAGTTCGAGACGTCTACGTTCGCACTGCTATTCCTGAAATCGACCTACCGAGACTGCCATCAAATCTCAAAGTGGAAAATAACACATTGACGCAGAAGTACAAAGGCAACTTTGATCTTCTTCTTCCGAAACTTGCAGGCGCCGACGTAGAAGACTCCACCCTCCCTAACGGAGCCAGAAAGACAACATTCAAACCAAAGGTTGGCATGAAATGGCCAGAGATCCATCTCCCAACCCTGGAGATGCCTGGCTGGAAGTTCCGGGCAACTGATCGATCACCGAGTCCAGAGCGCAAGGCGGACAAGGAGAGTGAGCATCACTTTGGCATCCGAATGCCATCATTTGGATTCAAAAAGGGAGTCAAAACCCCAAAATTCGATGGCATTGATGGTCTGCTCGGATACCTTCTCCCTGAATCTGACTTGCCGAAGCTGCGCATCAAGGACGACACCGAGGTTGATATCATAGACGACGCTGAGCCAAAGACACGAAGTATCATTGTCCGCACCATCATACCAGAAACTGACCTATCAAGCCTTCCATCCGGCCTTAAAACTAAGAAACTTACTTTCCCTGATGGCAATGCCAAGAACGTACTCGAACAAGCTTTTTCAGGCAATGCTGAGCTTCATTTGCCCAAGGTATCGGGAGCTGATATCAGTGAAACGAAACTACAACCAGGCTCAATCAAAACTACTTACCGCCCCAAGCCTGGCTTCAAGTGGCCGAAGTTTACATTGCCGCAATTTGACATTCCGAACTGGGAGTTCAGCACAGAAGCGAACGTCCCTCAAGCTGGCACTGAGCGCAAGGGTGATCACGAATTCCACCTGGGCATGAAAATGCCATCGTTTGGTTTTAAGAAGACACCCAAGGCGCCCAAATTTGACGGTATTGACGGGCTTCTCGGATACATTTTGCCTCAAGAAGACATTGACACGCTACGCATCCGTGACCTCACTGAGGTTGACGTCATCGATCTTCAGACTGGGAAAGGACGTGAGGTTATTGTTCGCACTCCTCTGTTTGATGCCGACTTGCCGAAGATGTCCGGAGATTTCGAGATCAATCAAATTACGCTTCCGAACAACGAAGTAAAAAATGAACTCATCCAGAAGTACACAGGAAATGCAGGTCTGTCTCTTCCAAAAGTTTCCGGAGCTTCAACAGATGATGTGAAATTACCAGACGGATCTACGAAAACAACATACAAGCCCAAGCCCGGATCCAAGTGGCCGAAAATTTCTCTTCCGGGAATCCAGATGCCGGATTGGGAGTTCCGAACAAATGAGACGGCCAAGGAAGATAGCGAATTCAGCTTTGGAATCAAGATGCCTTCGTTCGGATTCGGCAAAGGTGCCAAGGTTCCCAAGCTGGATGGCGTTGACGGTCTTCTTGGCTACCTTCTTCCCGAGTCTGAGCTGCCAAAGCTTCGTATCCGCGACAACACAGAAGTGAATGTCATTGACTTACCCGATATGAAGGGCAGGGAGGTTGTCGTCAGTACCGAGATCCCTGATGTTGACCTTCCGAAGCTCTCTGCCGATCTGAAGACTGAGAAGATCACCCTGCCTGACGGAAAGATCAAGAATGTGTTGACGCAGAAATTCAAGGGCAACGCCGAGCTACCCCTACCTAAGGTGTCTGGCGCAGACATTGACGACATCAAGCTTCCCGATGGCTCGATAAAAACATCGTACAAGCCCAAGGCTGGCTTCAAGTGGCCCCAAATCTCACTGCCATCTCTACAACTTCCCGACTGGGAGTTTGGTTCTGGTGATAGGTCGCCAAGCCCGGAGAGAAAGGAGAAAGACAAGGAAGATAGCGACTTCAGCTTTGGAATCAACATACCTTCGTTCGGATTCGGCAAAGGTGCCAAGGCTCCCAAGCTGGATGGCGTTGACGGTCTACTTGGCTACCTTCTGCCAGAGTCTGAGCTGCCAAAGCTTCGTATCCGGAACAACACAGAGGTGAATGTCATCGACTTACCCGATATGAAGGGCAGGGAGGTTGTCGTCAGTACCGAGATCCCTGATGTTGACCTTCCGAAGCTGTCTGCCGATCTGAAGACTGAGAAGATCACCCTGCCTGACGGAGAGATCAAGAATATGTTGACGCAGAAATTCAAGGGCAACGCCGAGCTACCCCTACCTAAGGTGTCTGGCGCAGACATTGACGACATCAAGCTTCCCGATGGCTCGATAAAGACATCGTTCAAGCCCAAGGCTGGCTTCAAGTGGCCCAAGATCTCACTGCCATCTCTACAACTTCCCGACTGGGACTTTGGTTCTGGTGATAGGTCGCCAAGCCCGGAGAGAAAGGAGAAAGACAAGGAAGATAGCGACTTCAGCTTTGGGATCAAGATGCCTTCGTTTGGATTCGGCAAAGGTGCCAAGGTCCCCAAGCTGGATGGCGTTGACGGTCTTCTTGGCTACCTTCTGCCAGAGTCTGAGCTGCCAAAGCTTCGTATTCGCGACAACACAGAGGTTGATGTCATTGACTTACCCGATATGAAGGGCAGGGAGGTTGTCGTCAGTACCGAGATCCCTGATGTTGACGTTCCGAAGCTCTCTGCCGATCTGAAGACAGAGAAGGTCATCCAGCCTGACGGAAAGATCAAGAATGTGTTGACGCAGAAATTCAAGGGCAACGCCGAGCTACCCCTACCTAAGGTGTCTGGCGCAGACATTGACGACATCAAGCTTCCCGATGGCTCGATAAAGACATCGTTCAAGCCCAAGGCTGGCTTCAAGTGGCCCAAGATCTCATTGCCATCTCTACAACTTCCTGACTGGGAGTTTGGTTCTGGTGATAGGTCGCCAAGCCCGGAGAGAAAGGAGAAAGACAAGGAAGATGGCGACTTCAGCTTTGGGATCAAGATGCCTTCGTTCGGATTCGGCAAAGGTGCCAAGATTCCCAAGCTGGATGGCGTTGACGGTCTTCTTGGCTACCTTCTTCCCGAGTCTGAGCTGCCAAAGCTTCGTATCCGCGACAACACAGAAGTGAATGTCATTGACTTACCCGATATGAAGGGCAGGGAGGTTGTCGTCAGTACTGAGATCCCTGACGTTGACCTTCCGAAGCTGTCTGCTGATCTGAAGACGGAGAAGATCGCCCTGCCTGACGGAAAGGTCAAGAATGTGTTGACGCAGAAATTCAAGGGCAACGCCGAGCTACCTCTACTTAAGGTGTCTGGCGCAGACATTGACGACATCAAGCTTCCCGATGGCTCGATAAAGACATCATTCAAGCCCAAGGCTGGCTTCAAGTGGCCCCAAATCTCACTGCCATCTCTACAACTTCCCGACTGGGAGTTTGTTTCTGGTGATAGGGCGCCAAGCCCGGAGAGAAAGGAGAAAGACAAGGAAGATAGCGACTTCAGCTTTGGGATCAAGATGCCTTCGTTCGGATTCGGCAAAGGTGCCAAGGTTCCCAAGCTGGATGGCGTTGACGGTCTTCTTGGCTACCTTCTGCCAGAGTCTGAGCTGCCAAAGCTTCGTATCCGCGACAACACAGAGGTGAATGTCATCGACTTACCCGATATGAAGGGCAGGGGGGTTGTCGTCAGTACCGAGATCCCTGATGTTGACCTTCCGAAGCTCTCTGCCGATCTGAAGACTGAGAAGATCACCCTGCCTGACGGAAAGATCAAGAATGTGTTGACGCAGAAATTCAAGGGCAACGCCGAGCTACCCCTACCTAAGGTGTCGGGCGCAGACATTGACGACATCAAGCTTCCCGATGGCTCGATAAAGACATCGTTCAAGCCCAAGGCTGGCTTCAAGTGGCCCAAGATCTCACTGCCATCTCTACAACTTCCAGACTGGGACTTTGGTTCTGGTGATAGGTCGCCAAGCCCGGAGAGAAAGGAGAAAGACAAGGAAGATAGCGACTTCAGCTTTGGAATCAAGATGCCTTCGTTCGGATTCGGCAAAGGTGCCAAGGTTCCCAAGTTGGATGGCGTTGACGGTCTTCTTGGCTACCTTCTGCCAGAATCTGAGCTGCCCAAGCTTCGTATCCGCGACAACACAGAGGTTGATGTCATTGACTTACCCGATATGAAGGGCAGGGAGGTTGTCGTCAGTACCGAGATCCCTGATGTTGACCTTCCGAAGCTGTCTGCCGATCTGAAGACTGAGAAGATCACCCTGCCTGACGGAGAGATCAAGAATGTGTTGACGCAGAAATTCAAGGGCAACGCCGAGCTACCCCTACCTAAGGTGTCTGGCGCAGACATTGACGACCTCAAGCTTCCCGATGGCTCGATAAAGACATCGTTCAAGCCCAAGGTTGGCTTCAAGTGGCCCAAGATCTCACTGCCATCTCTACAACTTCCAGACTGGGACTTTGGTTCTGGTGATAGGTCGCCAAGCCCGGAGAGAAAGGAGAAAGACAAGGAAGATAGCGACTTCAGCTTTGGAATCAAGATGCCTTCGTTCGGATTCGGCAAAGGTGCCAAGGTTCCCAAGCTGGATGGCGTTGACGGTCTTCTTGGCTACCTTCTGCCAGAATCTGAGCTGCCCAAGCTTCGTATCCGCGACAACACAGAGGTTGATGTCATTGACTTACCCGATATGAAGGGCAGGGAGGTTGTCGTCAGTACCGAGATCCCTGATGTTGACCTTCCGAAGCTGTCTGCCGATCTGAAGACTGAGAAGATCACCCTGCCTGACGGAGAGATCAAGAATGTGTTGACGCAGAAATTCAAGGGCAACGCCGAGCTACCCCTACCTAAGGTGTCTGGCGCAGACATTGACGACCTCAAGCTTCCGATGGCTCGATAAAGACATCGTTCAAGCCCAAGGCTGGCTTCAAGTGGCCCAAGATCTCACTGCCATCTCTACAACTTCCTGACTGGGACTTTGGTTCTGGTGATAGGTCGCCAAGCCCGGAGAGAAAGGAGAAAGACAAGGAAGATAGCGACTTCAGTTTTGGAATCAAGATGCCTTCCTTCGGATTCGGCAAAGGTGCCAAGGTTCCCAAGCTGGATGGCGTTGACGGTCTTCTTGCCTACCTTCTGCCAGAATCTGAGCTGCCCAAGCTTCGTATCCGCGACAACACAGAGGTTGATGTCATTGACTTACCCGATATGAAGGGCAGGGAGGTTGTCGTCAGTACCGATATCCCTGACGTGGACCTTCCGAAGCTGTCTGCCGATCTGAAGACTGAGAAGATCACACTGCCTGACGGAAAGATCAAGAATGTGTTAACGCAGAAGCTCAAGGGCAACGCCGAACTACCCCTACCTAAGGTGTCTGGCGCAGACATTGACGACATCAAGCTTCCCGATGGCTCGATAAAGACATCGTTCAAGCCCAAGGCTGGGTTCAAGTGGCCGAAAATCTCGCTGCCATCTCTCCAACTCCCGGACTGGGACTTTGGTTCCGGTGATACGTCAGCAGTTGTAGAAAGGAAGGAGAAGAGTGACGTCAGTGCTGGAATAAAATTGCCATCACTTGGTTTCGAAAAGAGAACCGAAATCCCAGAGCTGAAAGGAATTGATGCTCTTCTAGCCTACTTCATACAAGAGTCAGATATCTCAAAGCTGCGGCTCCGAGATAATACCGAAGTCGATGTCCTTGACGAGATGAATACGAAGAGCAGAAAAGTTGTTGTTAGAACGGAAATCCAGGAAGTTGATCTTCCAAAGGTACCAACTGGTGCAAAGGTAGACAAAGTGACTCATCATGGAGGTCTTGCCGCTATTATGGTTCAGGAATTCAAAGGAGATGCATCACTGCCACTGCCAAAGGTTTCTGGAGCTGAAGTACACTCAAAGAATCTTTCCGACGGAACGGTTAAAACCACATTCAACCGAAGCCTGGCTTTAAGTGGCCAACTGTCACACTCCCCATGCTTGAAATGCCTGAGTGGGAGTTTAGTTCAAAAAGCCGTTCCCCAAGCCCTGAAAGGAAGAAAAGCGACAGTGATTTCCACTTCGGTGTAAAGATGCCTTCATTTGGTTTTGGGAAAGGAGTGAAAACGCCAAAGGTCGACGGTTTGGACCATCTTCTGGGATATCTTCTTCCCGAGAGCGACCTTTCGAAACTACGAATTCGTGATACATCCGAAGTGGACGTTGTTGATCTCCCAGGTACGATGGGCAGAGAGGTGATTGTTATGACGGACATTCCTGACGCGAATCTTCCAAAACTTTCGACGGATCTGAAAACTGAGAAAATCAAGTTACCTGACGGCAAAACCAAAAATTTGTTGACCCAGAAGTTCAAAGCCAATGCTGAACTGCCGCTTCCTAAGGTTTCCGGTGCGGATATCAGTGAAATCAGCTTCCTGACGGCTCAATCAAAACATCTTTCAAGCCAAAGGCTGGGTTCAAGTGGCCTAAGATCACCCTTCCGTCCCTTCACTTGCCTGACTGGCACTTCGGAGGAAGCAGTGGCTCGTACAGTCCACCGTCTGTGAGAAAGGAAGAAAGTACAGATGCATCATCAGTGCGCTCCAGCAGACCAAGTGATACCGGTATTGATGGCATCGGGGACCTAGTGATGCAGTTGATTCCTCCTAACGAGCTCCCATCATTGGTGTTCACGGAAACATCGGAAGTTCGTGTGGAGGTCACTGGTCCAAAGAAAAGTGAACTTTTCATCGTTACGAATGTGACAGACGTTACTGTTCCGGAGCTAACACCCAACGCTAAAATAGACACAGTGAACGTCCCAGGTGGTGAAGAGCAGATCCTCACCCAGAAATTCAAAATTGATCCAAGAAAAGAGATTCCGGATGTCTTTGGGGCGAGTGTTGTAGAAACAAAGCTTCCTGATGGTACTGTTCGCTTCACCTACAAGCCTTGTCGTGGTCTGAAGTGGCCTGAAATTCACATGCCGTTAACAAGCATACCAGAGAGGGAAGTTCGTTCTGTCAGGGAACGTTCACTTTCGCCTGTGCGGGACGAGAAAGACTCGGCGTTCAGCTTCAAGCTGCCGTCGTTCAGTTTCAAGAAAGGAGTGAAACCGCCAAAAGTGTCTGGTGTAGACGGGCTTCTTGAGTATCTGTTGCCCAAAGATGACCTTCCCAAACTGCGCATCAGGGACAATACGGAAGTTGATGTTATCGACATTCCTGGAGGGGACGCTCGCGATGTCGAGGTACGGACTGAAATTTCCGAAGCAGATATTCAGCTGCTGCCGCCTGATAGCGACATTATCAAGATCAGTCAGCCCAATGGTGCACTAAAGCATACACTCTGCCAAAACTTCCGCAGCAGTCCGGACCTTCCGCTGCCAAGGGTGAGCGGAGCTGACATTTCCGAAGTCACTCTGCCGAATGGAAACGTCAAGGCTACTTATAAGCCAAAGCCGGGCTTCAAATGGCCAAAGTTATCTATGCCCAGCCTTCAGATGCCAGATTGGGAATTCCGTTCAAGTGATCGCTCTCCCAGTCCAGAGCGCAAAGTGTCAAAGTCGGTAAAGAAGCCGAGGTTTGACGGAATTTCTGAGCTTCTAGCGAGCTTCATTCCAAAGGCCAAACTTCCGTCCATCGAGTTCAGAGACAATTCCACAATCGATGTGGAGGATCTTCCATCTGGAAAACGTCACCTTGTCATCACTACCGAAGTAACCGAGCCTGAACTGTCAAAACTACCAAAGGATGCCAAGATTGAAGTCGAGTCTCTTCCATCTGGTAAGACTCGCAAAGTCTGGCGTCAATACTTTGACGTCGATCCGGAATTCCAACTACCGGAGATAGAAGGGGCTGAGGTCGAGGAGGTTACGATGCCGGATGGCAGGATAAAAACGTCTTACAAGCCTAAAGGCGGCTTCAAATGGCCAGAGCTTGATATGCCGAAATTCCATATTCCCGGTTGGGAATTCAAAAAGAAGGCTCCAGAATTCACAGAGGCTCCGGACAAGAAGAAGTCAAAACCTCAACCGGCACCACCAAAGAAAGCGATGAAACGACCACCAAACTTCCTCGGAATCGATGGAGTCCTCGAATATTTGATTCCAGAAGACAAATTAGGAAAGCTTCGCATACGGGACACCACAGAGGTTGACGTCGTGGATCTTCCACGAATGAAGGTTCGTGATGTCATCGTGAGGACAGAAATCCAAAAGTCTGACGTGCCTAAGCTACCAGCGGGTCTCACGCCAACTGAAGTCACCCGTCCATCGGGCCGTGTGGCGCAGACCATCGAGCAGCATTTCAAGGCTGATTCAGACCTGGCTCTACCAACCTGTTCAAGCGCCGACGTTGCTGAGGCTGACGAGGCCGATGGGTCACACAAGACCACTTACCGTCCACGGAAAGGAACCAAATGGCCGAAGATAAAACTTCCTATGTTACAGGTGCCCGACTGGGAATTCCGATCGTCCAAGGTGCCCTCACGATCGCCTAGTCCAGCCAGTGATGATGAGGCACGCTTTTCATTTTCTGGGCTGTTTTCTCGCTTCTTACCATCATTCAGCAAGGAGAAGGCAGAAATAGAAGTAGAGGAGCACCCAGTTCATGGGCATCAGTTTGTCGTAAAGACTGAGGTGCCTGATGAGGAGTTGAAAAACATTCCAGTGGACGCGCAGATCGAAGTTGAGTCTTTACCTGATGGTCGTCAACGTCGTGTTTGGCGTCAGCCAGTGAACACAGAGATAAGTCTGGATTCCCCAGAAATCGAACTGAAAGAAGAGGTACTTCCTGACGGTCGTGTGCGCAAAACTGTGAAACCAAAAGCTGGTTTCGAATGGCCATCGTTTTCGTTTGGGTTCAGTAGCAAGAAACAAGAGGAGCCTGAGGCACCGGGCAGGCTCCTTGCTGAGATGATCCCCGAGGACCAACTCCCTAAAGTAAAGTTCCTAGACACCTCTGAGATCGAGATCCTCGAAATGCCTAGCGGCCAGCGACAAGCTGTCATCACAACTGAGGTAACTGACTCGAACCTTGGAGAGCTGCCAGCTGGCGCGAAAATTGAGGATGACACCACACCCGACGGTCGCAAAAGAAAGGTCTGGATTCAATACTTTGATGTCGAAGAAACCTATGTCATCCCTCGATTCGAAACAATAGAGATTACGGAAATCGTCTTGCATGATGGCAGAAAGAAGAAAGTACTGAAGCCGAAACCAGGCGTAAAATGGTCTGGAATTCCAAAATTGATCAAACGCAAATCTAGTGAGCGGAAGGTCTCAGTAGAAAAGGTTCCAAAGATATCCAAGATCCCTGTACGAGAAGGAAAATCACCCAAGCCGGAATCGACCAAGCGAAAATCAAGCAAGTCAAAGGACGACGAGCCGACTGCAAAGCCCGGCGCTGCTATGACCAGCTTCATGTTGTCTATGGTCCATCCTGATGGATTGGAAATGGTTCGTGATTCCATGGTTAGCACAGAAAAGCCAGACGTGTCTCTAGAGATTCACGCTGGTAGCATCCGGCAGCCGATCGTGGTCCGGATTCGCCATCAAAGAAACCACGGCCGGACTTCCCGGCTGAAATGACGTCCGCGCCAGCTGACAGAAAAACTCGCGAGAAAGAATCGCCTAGCAAGATTCCGAAGAAGTTCCAGGCGCGCCCTCTGCGGAACCGCCCATCAAGGTCCGACCAGGCTTACCAAGAAGGGTTCTCCTCCTCCCGATCCGGATGTAGATCTTTCGAAGGTAATATCTGACTCACAAATCGAGAAAATGCTGGCTCCGCTTGACGATGTCCCAGAATCAGTCACACCAACTGAAGCGGAGAAGGAGTCTTCGAAGAAGTCCAAGATTCCTAAAAAGATGCCATCGGTTCCAGCTCGAGGTGCAGCGAAAACTGACCCTCGTACCCCACCTTCAACACCAAGGAGGAGTGTGACATTCCTCTAGCTGGTGACATTCACCTCCACCAGGTTGTTGAACGAACTGTCTGCGAATCAGATGACGAGCTTGATGCCCCTGATCCGGATTCGGTGCCGTTGGGTGCTGATGTTGAAATCCAAGAACAGCCGGATGGCAGCATTCTGCGCATCTACAAACGCACTATTGTTTCTTCAGCCGCAGACATGCCTTCTATGCATCTGCGTTTCCCCGATTATACCGTGTATGAAGAAACCCTTCCGGACGGTTCCGTACAACGCACCATTAGAAGATTATCACCACCGAAGATTGGGGCTTCCTGCCTGAAGGGGACAGGTCGAGGAGGAAAGGCAGCCTGACGGGACTCTCCAAAGGTGTGGAAACAAGTTTTGAAGCCTGGTGATCCTGATTTTGACATCCCGGAGGATGCTGGCACAGAAATCCAAGAGCAGACCCTTCCAGATGGAAGCCTGGTTCGCAGAGTGAGCCGAAGGAGAATTGTTCGGCCCGCACAAAGTGCTGCAGTCCCAGCACCAGACGAAGTTAGCGAGGAGACATTGCCAGATGGATCAGTCATTCGAAGAACAATTCGCCGAACGTTCATGACTTCTGAAGAGCCAGATTTTGAAGTTCCAGAGGAGCTGAAGTG